AAGTAAAGTTTAGGTGACATGTTATTTCAGATTCTACTGATTTTCAGATGCAATCAATGCTACACCTCCTTATTTATATTCACACTTAATATCCTCTCAAGGAAAAGGTTCCCAAACAATATTTTCCCCATTTACTACACTTTTCTATCTTACTTCTCTCAAGAAGTAAAAACTTGCCACAAGTTCTTAAGGACATCTGTAGGATTAACTGATGGAAATTTGAGCTCCCCATAATAATAGTGTTTGAAGGGTCTACTACTCTTGAAAATGGGCCTTGGTTTATAATTGCTTACCTTAATTGATTCACAAACATCAAAGCCAATATTATGGCAGATATATTTGTTATACCAACAGTTCTTTTGTTTTGTGTTTTTAAGAGAGGGAGAGAGGGGTGGAGAAGAGACAGAGTGAGAGAATCCCAAACAGGCTCTACGCCTAGCACAGAGTCTGACACAGGGCTCAATTCCACAACTCTGGGATCATGACCTGAGCTAAAATCAAGCCTCAGATGCTTAACCAACTCAGCCACCCAGGTACCACTATATCTAGCAGTATTCTAAATTCTGGAAATCTGAGAATGAACAAGATATACAAGATTCTGGTTTGCATTATACTCTATTATCATTGAAAAGAGCAAGCAATACACAAATGTACAAATGAGATACTTTAGGAAGTGGACATCTGTGACAAAATTACAGCATGCTAGAAAGATAAGAAATAGGAGGAGGCAGGGTGCAGACAGTGATTAAAGATTTCTCTGAGGAGGGGACTTCTGAACTGGTGAGAAACAGCAAGCTGTGTAAAAATATGAAGGGTGAATGCCATGAAATGGAAAAGCTCAGAAGGATAAATATTAGCTTGGCATGGTGAAAAAGAGTGTTGCTAGAGACATCACTTTATATAGTGAAAAAAAAAAAAAAGTATGGGCTCTGTGATTGTATCATGACCACCTGCAATGAGTAGCAGGATGAATTCAGGAGTGAACTAATCTCAATGAACTATATTCTTACCTTGAAGATGTTTAATAATGGAATTAAATATGCTGTTAATTGGGTACATAACATAATAGGCACCAAAATTTTAATTCTGACCTAAGTTTCCCATTACTATAGATTTCCATGATTGTAACTCATCTTTTGGTTCATTTCAAGTATGGGAATATTGAGTCAGATTTGTTTGGGGAAGAGATCTAAGGTCAGGGATTTCCCTATGCAAAACTCTTGACCTGCCTGATGAACCCATGATTCTCCAATTCACAGAGTTGACTTTGGTTAATGGTTCTATTTATTATTTTAAGCATAAAATGATATAAATATATTTTTTCAAGGTATATAAGAAACATAACCTATTTCTCCAATTTTGTTTTAGTTCCTGTATGAGTGCGTATTTATTTTCCTCTACATATAATCTTTAGCTCTACGGTAGTAGAGTTTATCTCATTCATCTTGGGAACTCTTTAAGGTGCCTAGTTGAGATATTACATGTAAATTGATATTCAGAAATATTCACAGTTATGAATTTTTTAAGATGTGATCTCCAGTTCAGCTTTATAGAATACATTACAACATTCCAACACACAAAAACTAAGACAGATTTTTCTAGTGACAACAGTCTCAGCTTCATAATATCAATAAGAATAGCTAAGTTTTACTGAGTGCTCACTGAAACTTTAGCATGCAAAGGTCCTATGAAACAGATTCTATTAGCATCATCGTTTTGCAATGAAGAAACCAAAGCATTGAGACTAACTAGGTCTCCCTGGCCAGACAACAACGAATTGACAAGATTAGGATGCAAACCAATTAATTTAACTGCAGTGTTGTACCCTTAATGACCTTATGTTGTCGCCTCTTTGATTACTTATTCTATTATCCTATTTCTTTACATTTAAAATTTAGTTTGATTATCCTCCAAGACATAACAAAGGTATCCTTTTAACAGTCCATCCTAGATGAACTAGTCCTTTGCACGACCCTTGAGCAGGCTGAACTACAGAGGTAGTCGACCATTGCTTCTCCCTCCCCCTCGAAGTTTAGATCTGGGATCAGATGTCCCAGTGAGTTCTGGGATAGAGTCAGTTTATTGCATAAGTGCATCATCTGTCAAAACAATTGAGAAGATAGAATGTATAATTTACAAAAATATGTATTTTTTTTATTAACTTTTCAGGAACTTCCCATAAAGAAAAACAGGAAAGGTATAATTACTGGCCCAATCATTAGCACTGATAGGATATCCTCAACTTCATTCATATCTATTTTAAAACAACAATGTGAAAATCAATGGTATTTGCAGAGAACGGTGTAAAGGGTAACAGACAAGGATTAAATTGTATAAATCTGCATTGTAATGAGCTCATTCTTAGGATGTTTTGAATGCATAGGGAAAGAATATTTCTCAGTAATATCATATAAAGCACTGTGATAACAAATAAATCTACAAATAAAGTCTCAGTCTCATCTTCAAAATATGGATCAAAATGAAAAGGTTTGACTGCATTAATCTGTTTTGCATAGAGTATACAATTTGTAGACCTACCTTCAGCAGAGGAGAACATCAGATGATAATTGTTCACTATTTATAATAGAATTTTGAACACTGAGAGCATTGAGAATATCTCCCCAGGAAACTAGCCAGGTAATTATGAAAGGAATAATGATTAAAATGCCAGAAACATCTCAGGGGTAGGAGAAGTTAAGGGCTGTTAATGAGAAGGGTAATCCTTATAGTAAAATTAAGAAATCAAAATTCTGGATAACATGGTGTAATCTCTCCCACCTTTACATGAGTCCTGCATTCTTTCATTCACATTTAGCAGTTATGCATCTTGGGAAAATATTCTTGGTTTGCATCATGACAAGGAGAGATAAATGTGCTTTATGTTAGAGATGCTTAAATATAATGAAGGTGACAGATGTAGACATGAATGTAACAATAAGATTTATTTTTCAAAGTACTTTGCAAAAATATCCCAAATTCTCAACAAATGGAAAAATTGCTTTAAGTTCTACGAAAAACTTAGATTCATAGAAATTGCGAGTCTGGAGAGACCTTGAGAGCAGTGACTAGAAACTAAAAATTAACTGGATGAATAATAAAAATGATTTATCCAAGGAGACCCACAAATTAATTTGAAATTTGGAAACTCAAACCCAGAACATGCTGTTCTCATTCTTTATGGAGCACTAACTAAATCTCTAAAAAGTAAATAGGGATAGCTTTTCATTTTTTGGGGTGTAGGGGGGCAGTGAAAGAATGAGAGATATAGCAAAGATCCAAATCCAACTATATTAAAATGTTTTAAAATCATACTTTGAAATTTATTAGTAATCAGCAACTAACTGGCATATCAAGAGTTCTCTAACAAAATCCAACTGGTGAATAAACAGTTGTCCTGACAAAGTTATTTTTAACTAACCCCAAAAGTAAAATTGAGTTAGATCTTAAAGTTTTTTGGGAGGGTTAAGTTTTGCAACTATAGGCACAGTGATAAAGTATGATTTAATCTAAATTACTAGTTTGTTTAAATGCAAATACCTTTAAAACATTGCTGATGGGGCACCTGGGTGGCTCAGTGGGTTAAGCCTCTGCCTTAGGCTCAGGTCATGATCTCAGGGTCCTGGGATCGAGCCCCACATTGGGCTCTCTGTTCATCACGGAGTCTGCTTCCCTGCCTCACCCCACCCTCTGCCTACTTGTGATCTCTCTCTCTCTCTCTCTCTCTCTGTCAAATAAATAAATAAAATATTTTTTAAAAAGTTACTGATGGCATGTGTGTATGGGTGTGGAAGTGAGTTCATATACATTGTTATTGCCCTTGAAGAAAATAAAAACTCAAAAGTGGACAAGGAAGGATGTTTATTCTCATAGTACATCAATGTCATTTTATATTTATATCTTTCCAGATAAATTTGTAATTACTTAAATGTGTAATTTAAGTGTGTATTGGTTCCATTGCTGTATTTTTGTATTTTCTACATCAAAAAAGCAGATTATTAATGTATGTATTATAGATATATGTATTGATATAGAGAATTTAAGAAGTCCAAGTTTTAAAGTTGTTCCTCATGCTTGTATTTCATGAAATGAGGTATGAGAGTGGTGGGTCATGTTATCATTAGCAACAAATACACCACCCTAAATACTTTGTGTCTTTCAAACACAAAAATTATTTTAAAATATTTACTACATCTTAGTCACAGATGTGCAAAATATTCCACATGAATACCAATTTAATTTATTTATTAAGTGGGATCAAGAGAGCTGTGCTTTCAAAATTATGCATCCATTTGCTGATTCTACCCACTCTTCTGTCCAACTGAAGACCCTTTGGCAGGAACAAGGGAGAAGGTCAGTGATCAACAGCCACTGTGGCATTTAAATATGGCAGTTACTGGAATCTGTAAGAGAATTACATACCATGCCGAATCTCTCATGAATACTAAAAATGTTGAAAAGGGATGACATACAAGAGGATAGCTTTTTTCAAGGCAGTAGTCTCTGAATAGACCTGCCATTCATATTGAAGAAAAAGTATTTGCTTCCATAAAATCTCACAACCATTACCGAGACCACCATTTTTATATTAACATACTAGAAAACTAAATGAAATATGTTCTTATTTTTACTGCTCCAATTTACTCTCTAAATAGGCAAATTGATAAGTATTTTCCATAATCATTCATTGCATTTTTTAATAAGAAAAACAAAATATTTCATTTCAGCTAAATATTTGAATAATTTCAATTAGTGTACCTGCAAATTTTGGCTAAAACAAACTTTTCAATTAATTATTATTTTTTTAAATTTTAACTAATCCTTACTACTCACATCAATATGGTTGATTTGTCTCCTTTTTTCCCACTGGGTTTGAGTCTTTCTCTTTTTTTATTATTAATGCACGAAATATCTAGCCTTTATAAAAGTTATTGATATGCTGAACCACAATCTATTGACAAATTCTTATGAATCACACAAGACAATATTAACAAAATTGTATTTTATTTTGTTAAACATGTTCTGCTGATAACTTTTTTCATGGCTTCTTTCACATCTTTGTTCCTCAGACTGTAGATCATGGGATTCAGCATGGGGATCACTGTGGTGTAAAACACAGCCACCATTTTCCCCTGCTCCACAGACTCCTCTGTAGGACGTCTAAGATACATGAATATGAGAGTCCCATAAAATATGATGACTGCTGTCAAGTGGGAGCCACAGGTGGAAAAGGCCTTTCGCCTCCCTTCCGCTGAGTGCATCCGTAGAATGGCAATGAGAATGAACAGATAAGAAATGGTCACCACAGTCAGAGAATATGTGAAATTAATGCCTGCAAGTATGATCATCGTGTATTCTTTTACAAAAGTCCCTGCACACGCCATTTTGATGAGAGGTGGGTCCGCACAGTAGAAGTGGTTGATCTCAATATTCCCACAAAAGGACAAGCCATATGTCCACAGGGTTGCGGCCAAACTAGTCAGAAAGCCATATATGTAAGGGAAAGAAATCAGTCGCATACACACAGCCCTAGACATTTTGCTGCTGTACAGCAGAGGTTTCCCAATTGCCATGTACCTATCAAAGGCCATCACAGCAAGAATGAAAACTTCTACATGGACGAGGGCAATGAAGAAGAAACACTGTACCAAACAACCAGCATAAGAAATAGTTTTTGTTTCTGATAACAGATTTTCCAACATTTTGGGGGTCACATTGGAAGAAAACCAGACATCCACATATGACAAATGACTGAGGAAAAAGTACATGGGGCTGTTAAGCTGTGGACTGACCTTAATTAACATGATCATGCCAATATTGCCTACCACGGTGACAACATAGACCATAAGAAAAATGATGAAGAAGAGGACTTGCCATTCCTGACGACTGGTTAGTCCCAAAAGAATAAACTCTGTCACATCAGTGAAATTGAGCATTTTCTCAACTCCAAGTCAGTATTTGTTATAAATCTCAGGGATAACTAGGATGAAATAAATTTAAAAATCAAGTGTTGTTTATTTCTTAATTTATATTTTTATCCATGCCTCTTTTATATTTCTTTATTCACTATCTATGACTGAAAGTTACTAAGATGCCCTAGTACATAACAGTTATATGAATATTGTGACTGAAACATACTGCTACTAAATATTGTGCTTAGTCAAACTTCCAAGACCACTTATATTTTTAAATATATATATATATATATATATATATATATTTTTTTATATTTTTTTATTTTTTCTTTTTCTTCTCTTTCATTCTATTTTTTTTTTTTTTTACTTATTTCAGAGAGAGCATGAGCGGAGGGAGGGGGAGACAGAGAGAGTGAATCTCAAGCAGATTCACCACTAAACACAGCCCTATGTGGTGCTTGATCCAAGGACCCTGAGTTCAGGACCTGAGCCACACACACACCCCTCCAAGACTATTAAACATCTCTTGTTTCCAATATTGGCATGTTTAGAGGTTTCATATTTTAAGATATTTATGAAGGGTCATAATTTTCTCTTCAACTCAATGCAAAAATGATTTTTTACCTCATCACTTCTTCATTATAAGCATATTCTCCATGATTAGGAATGGAAGCCACTTAATCAAATAATTTACCAGCCCTAAGTGTTAGAGAAAATATTATTTTTAATCTAATCTCATGCTTCCACCCACTTAAATTAAAGAGCACAAACTGATCACATTGGTCATCAAAGCCAGGTATAAAGGGGTAAACTACTTAACTACATTCATTAATTTATACATATTCCCTGGATGTGGACTTCTTAGCATATAATTATAATCTACTAATTATTATTGACTATTATGTTATGGAGATTCCCCTATTGCATCACTCCATATTTCAAATTATATCAGTAAATACAGATTTTTTTCCCCACAAGACCAGGCATGAGAAAATATTCAGTATTCTCGTTAAAGAATTCTGTTTCTGTTGTTAGATTTGTGTTGAATTCTGGCTCCATGATGTAAGAACTTGAACTGGTTTTATATTTGTTTTCTTTGTCTTTCATTTCTCTATGCCTTAATATGATGCAACAGTAACAATAATACTCATTTCATTGTTTAATTATAAGTATGAAAAGACATTACATACTCACACATAATAAATACACAGGGCACAGTTATTACTAAATGCACTCCTGGAAATTATAGTTTCCATTAGTAGTTTGTAATAATCAAATGATCAAATCTCTGTAGAAAATATCTTTCTCTCTCTGTATCTCTCTAATTCTTTCCTCCATCCTTCCCATTTCTCTGTCACTTCCATGTGCATAAATAGACACCTTCATACACAGATATCATGTATAGAATAATTAATGGTAGTTATAAAGAAAAAGAGAAGATAGGGGCACCTGAATGGCTCAGCCAAGTTGGACGACTCCCTCCTGTTGGGCTCATGATCCCAGGATCCTTGGATCCAGCCCTGCTTTAGGCTCCCTGCTCAGCAGGAAGTCTGCTTCTCCCTCCCCCTCAGCTGCTCCCCTTGTTTGTGCTATCTAGCTTTTTCTCGCTCCTGCTCTCTCTCTCTCAAATAAATAAATAAAACCTTTAAAAAAAATAAGAGAAGTTAAAATCTGAGATGCAAACTTAGTCTGACAGATCTGGATAGATATATTTTTATACCAACCTGAGAATGACGAGAAATATTCCCAGTAAGAATGCAGAAGTGAAAAGAAAATGCTACATGAGAGATGATAAGCAATGTATACCAGGTAAAAGAGAACCTGAAAGTCCACAAGAGAAGTTTCCCTTAAATCTTTGCCTTAGAGGAAAAAAAAAAAAAAAGGAAGAAGAACCAATTAAGAAGCTTTGCCTACAAAGAACCCTGGGGGCAACTAACCCTCTAGAGGAAAGTCCACATTGTTGAGTTTTGGTTTTTAATAGTAGGTTTGCACAATTTGGTTTTTCCCCAAACTCAAGTTATTTTGCACGCGTCCTGGGATCCAAGAACACAATTTGTTTTGGGTTTGCATCATGCTCAACTGGGTGATGGTTTCACTCAGTCTGTACAAGTCAGTCTTGTGTTCTGCAGTCTTGGTCTGTGCCACTGGGCTTTTCCAGTGAAAGGTGAAACAGGTAGCATCATTCCCTACAATGAAAACTGTATCATATCAGAGCAGGAAAATGTATCTGTTTCACATCCTTCATTTTATGAATAAGAACATGAGAAAGTTAACAACAACAATAAAGCATATGTTACATTTGCACATGCTAACTTAATTTTCACCACCACCATCATTATTATGATATCTATTTTACAGTCAAGAGACTTAGAGCTTAGAGAGTTTCAGTGACTTGCTCAAGGTCATATTTCTAATGAATCGGGGACTAGGTTCCTGATTCCAGACTTTGATTCCAGAGTTTGTACTGCTACTCATCTCAATCCCAAAAGTAACTATTAATTGTGCAGATCAAAATCTCAACTACTGATCCAAAATGACTCTCATTTCTACTATATGACTGGTGTATATAATATATTCTATAGAGTATATTTTATCAAAGTCTTTATGAACTTGAAGGAACAAAAATATGTTCTTTGTATAGCTAAAATATGCATTTGATCACTTTGCTTGAGTGCCTGGCAATGTATGCCCTCCAAGTTGTTCCCTCTTCTGGCCTGACTGCTGAGTCATGCTCATACAGCTCTACTTTAGTTCCTGCAACAAGAGCCTATTTCAGCTTATTGAGATCAGTGGAGAAATTGCTGGTTTCCCACCAAATCCATTCTTCTCTCATTGCAAGATTTTCAGCAGAGCAATTGCCTTGTTCATGGCCCTACCTAGGATGGAGGCACATGGTAGATATACAAGAAATATTTTTTGACTAAAGAAAATGGTGAAATGATCTTTTCAATAGGTGAACTCTATAACTAAAAGAAGCACATGTCTAACTATCACTTAGATATTTCTCAGAATAGTGTCAAGATGCTCCAGGCTTACCCTGAAACCATACTTTGGAATTGAGGAGTGTTAAGTATATATGAGTTACAGCTCTGTGTGGGTCTTGAGAGTAACTGCTACTTGAGAGCATAAGTTTGCTACTTAGGACCAAAGGTTTACTGTCCACAGAAGTTTTGGGCCTACATCATAAACAGTAACCTACCTCTGACCCAGAATTTCTCTCAATGGTAAGTTAATTACATTTTATCCCCTCAAATATTGTGCTAAGTTTAATTTTTAAGGCCAACCTCTTTAAGACACTAAAAAGCCTGATGTGATTGCTCTAGGTTTTATGTTAAAAGGTGGTTCTCAGTATAAAAAGCCAGGACAACTTCTCATTTAGCATGGAGAAATCCAGATAGGACAACTTGCACAGAGAAAGAAAGTTGAGTTTTTATTATTCTAACCAGAGATCTCTCCAGACCACAAAGATTATTTAATGCAATTATCTACCTATATGGGTCATGAAAAACTTATTTTCTTTTAAACATTTCCTTGAGGGTCCCTATGTAAAATTAATAATCTCCTCCCCTGTATTTCATACAACTTAGTTCATATCGCTTATGCTAACCTGTTATGCCTTTGATCTCATATTCTATTACTTTTCTCATATTCCTGGGTTCTAACAGCAATGGCCTCCAATTTTTCCTTGAATATTTAGTGAATATTTGCATTTAAACTCTTTTCTAGATATTTCTTGTGCTTAGAGCACTACCTCCCCATACACATATAAGCACATGTGCATAGCTACTATCTAGACCACTTTCATGAGGTTTTTACTTACTGTCACCTTCTCCCATCCAAGTACTAACCAGGCCCAACCCTGCTTAGCTTTTGAGATCAGACAAGATCAGGTGTGTTCAGGGTGGTCTGGCCGTAGATTTACCGTCACCTTCTCAATAAAAGTTATCTTCATTCTCATGCTTTAGTCAGAGAACCTATTATTATCCTACAATAATTTTTTTCAGATTTTGCCATACAATTACTAACTTATTATATGATTCACTTGTATTTTATGATAATTGTTTTTGTATGTCTCACACCACTGGAATATAAGCTTCATGAGACCAAAGATTTCTTTTTCTGTTTGGTTCATTGATAACAAATACCTAAAACTGTGCTGGCTATATAATATACACTCAGCTAAAACTTGCTAGAGGAATGAGTGAACTGATTAAACAGCAGTTTAGCATGCTAAAAAATAGTACTAGATAAATAAAAGCAAATTTATATACAACATTATCAGTATTTTATAATTAGAGGGATAGAGAGTTAGTACACAAATAGTGGTAGTTGGAAGTTTTATGGAAATTAACGTTAAATTCTAGATTCAGACCATGAACAAAAATAAATTCTAAGTGGTTTAAATTAATTATAAATATTTTAAGTACATATTTTTGGTATGAAATCTGTTCATATTGGTTAATATAATACTAGTAGTCAGAAAAATCTCTGAGATCCTTGGGACTTAGCATAGTCCCTATTGATATCTTATTCATATAACAGGCTAATGCAGATGTTACTGGGAGACCTTTCTTCCAGGGATTGAATGAGTTGGAACTTTTTCCTGTGACTCCACACCATCCCTGGGCTTCACAGACTTTTGTTTGTAACTGGAGAACAAACAAAAATAAAGGGTTAATAGACAGTGACTCATGCGAGACTGTTATGGTGAGGCTTGGGCATGTAATACACACTTCCACCCGCACAGCTGAGAAACACATCTAGTTTTCGGTTTTGTTTTATTTTTCACTAAAAGGGAAGACTGGATTTGGGGACAACATAACATACTCTACCACTAAACATTTGACAAAGGATCTCTTTATGACAACCCTGATGAAGAAACTCACAAGACGGAGTTCAGCTGATCTGACTACATACTTATTTAAAATATGTTTTATTTTTAAAATATTTTTATTTAAATTCAATTAGCCTAGGTATCTAGTGTACAACAGTTCATTAGTTGAATATAACACCCAGTGCTCATCATATCACATGCCCTCTTTAATTCCCATCACCCAGTTACCACATCCCCCCACATACCTCCCTTTCCACAACCCTCAGTTTGTTTCTCGGAGTCAAATCTCATATAGTTTGTCTCCCTCAATTTTTTCTTCCCATTCAGTTTTCCCTCCCTTCCCCTATTGTCTTCTGCACTATTCTTTATGGTCCACATATGAGTGAAACTATATGATAATTGTGGTTTTTTGATTGACTTATTTCACTTAGCATAATACCC